GCTCTCCCAGCCAGTCCCACAGCCACCTCGGAACATCCTCACCACCGTTCCTCCTTTGGAAACTGGTAAGTGTGGCACTGAGGCAGAGGATCCACTTGATATCATATGTACTTCACAGCACCAGCACTGGGTGTGTATGGCTTCTTTCTATCATCTGAGCTCAGCAGTTTGCTCGAAGAGATGTCAGGATAGCAGAGAACTAAGAAAATGAAGCTCCTGGGAAGAAAAGCAAGAGCAGCAGGGGCCCAGTTTTTGCTGGCACAGCTATACTCTCAGATCCTTATATTCTTTTTAAATTAAGCTATTGTTCCTGGAACTATAAAGAGGTAATGTTTGTCTCAGGCTGAACTGTGTGAGTTAAGTACTCGTGCCAAGTTTATAGTTCAGTGGTTTGGTTGAAATCTGGAATGGATGAGGTGACAGGAAATCAGTGTGTTTTCATTCTTCCAGATGCCTGAAATACCCGCCGATTGCAAATTAGACCAAGAGGAGGTAAATAACTCTCAAGCCACTATCTTATAATTCCATGGCTTTGCTCTGACAATGCAATGTAGATAAATGCAAGAGTGCATCATGAGACTCCGAATCTGAAAATGGCTCAGTAATATTTCAGAGGCAACACAGGTCCCCCAGAATGACCTAAAGTGAATACCTTCTGTGAATAATTTGTAATCAGCTTTCGGCCTCTAACTCCCGCACAAAAGTATCAAGTCAGTATTACATCCATGGGGTTAGTATTTCTTCCTAAGTTCCCAAATTATTTTCAGGAAGAAAATTTAGGTCTTAACGGAGCAGAAGATAACATTCTTTTGCAGTCACATGTTGGGGATAATCCTTGCTGAATTTATGAAGAGAAGGTAGTAGTGTCTTTGTTCCAGAGGTCAGGGCTGTGACAAACAGCTCTGTTGACTTAAAGTCAAATTCTGTTTACTTGTAATAAATACTTATGTGCTTGGAATATTAAGTATAATTAAAAGCAAATCTATTTGGGGAAAATAGAAATAGAGTAGCAAGCAGTATACGGACAAGATATTTAAAGATTTTATTTAGTAAAAATAGAAGCATTTCATTATCTGGGTGGTGAATTTAGCTTATCACGTACATGGGAAGGTAATTTATCACTTGTTTGGAAATGATTCAAATAACATTTGCTGTGTTACAATGTAGTATGTGTCATTGCAGAAACAATCTTTATAACTGCCTAAGGTGATTCTATAATGTAATTTCTAACCTTTGCTTTTGTGAAAATGCATCCAAGAATTATTCTGTATACTTGATCATGATTCTATCTATTTTATGATAGAAAATAACTATTTAACAGTTGAAACAAAGTTGCTTGCTAATAGCTATTTTTTTCCTCTTAGGAAATGCTCTGTAGACTGATACCTTCCACAAGCCCTAAAATAAATATTTCTGAAGTGATGTTTGCTAGATTTTCTTCTCCAGGCAATACACACTGACTTTTTAAATAGTTTAAATGCAAAGTACTTTTAAACTTGACAAGAAAATATAGTGAGTTTAGAAAGATTTACTCCTCATTTAGAATTTTTAAAAAAATCAAGGTTTGGAAAAAATGTCAAAACTAACTTTACTTATAAAATTTAAAAATAACATTTCAGAACATGCACAAAAGTGTTTAAATAATTGGGGGCTTCTACACATCATTTGAGGTTGCTAGCATGGCTAATAGGCCTCCTGACGGTGGACAGATTATTCAGGAAAGCTAATGCAGTAGGAAACCTCCTCTCCCTCTGCTAGAGAGCCTGTCTTTGATTTTCCGCAGAACTGTGCGCTCAGGTTCGCCGTGCAAACTGCTGCATGGATGATTGACTTTCTTACCTCTTTATTAGGACCAGAAGCCTTCATATTCTTAATGGAGCAAATAATTTTTCTGGTTTAACCTTATACCTTTTTGAAGTGTTCTTGAGATTTGAGAAAGCTGGTTACATGATAATATTAGCATACCTAACCTTCAGTCCTAGGACTTCCTTTTCGATTTACAATTGTTCTCAGCCATTTTCTTGGTTTTGAATACCATCTATGTGCTGTTGATTCTCAAATGTAGGTCTCCATCCTGGACCTTTACCCTGTACTCCATATTCACATCCCCAGCTTTCCACTTAACATCTCCACTTGGATGTATAACAGATGTCTGAAATGTATGTCTCAAATCAGTATTCGTTCTTCCATGGTGAACTGATATTTTTCTGACTCCTCCCTGTCTTCACCGTTCCAATTTAAAAAAAAAAAAAAAAAAGGATGCCATTGTCTAGTTGAATCTCATGTGTGTCAGAATAGAATTGTACTCCACAGAGTTTTCAATGGCTGATTTTTCAGAAGTAGATTGCCAGGCCTTTCTTCAGAGGCACCTCTGGGTAGACTTAAACTATCAACCTTTAGGTTAGCAGCCCAGCACATTAACCATTTGCACCACTCAATTAAAAAAAAAACCAAAAAACCCAAACCCATCGAGTTGATTCCGACTCATAGTGACCCTATGGGACATAGTACCAAAAACCAAAACCAAACCCATTGCCGTTGAGTCAATTCTGACTCATAGTGACCCTATAGGACAGAGTAGAACTGCCCCATAGAGTTTCCAAGGACTGCCTGGTGGATTCAAACTGCTGACCTTTCGGTTAGCAGCCATAGCTCTTAACCACTATGCCACCAGGGTTTCCAACAGGACAGAGTAGAACCACACAATTACTCAGTTAAAAAACCTTGGAGTCTTCTATTACTCCTGTCTTTCTTTCACTTCCAAACTTTCGCACATCCAAGCTTTCAGCAAATTCTATTAATTCTACCTTCAAAATAGACCTTGAGTCTGATCACTTCTCACATGTCCCCCTCTACAGCTATCATCTTTAGCCTGGATGATCACAATGGCCTTCTCACTGGTCTCCCCACTCCAACACTTGTCCCTCACCAGTAAGTTCTTCAGACATCAGCCAGATTGATTCTCAGCTCAGAACCTTCCAGTGGCTCTTCAGCCTTTCAGAATGAAACCCAAAGTCCTATAGGACCCTAATCTCCCTGCCCTCCTAATCTCTCTTTCCCCCACACCCCTTACCTCTCTGACATTATCTCCTCTACCTCCCTGGCCCTCACTCCTCTGCAGCCACACTGGCCTGTTTGCTCTTCTGGAATCTGATAGGCACGCTCATACCTTAGTGCCTTTACACTGGTCTTCTGCCTGGAACACTTTTTCCCAGATACTCTCATGCTCAGATGTCACTTCTCTATCAAGCCATCCCTGATGATGCTATTTAAAATTGCACCCTACCCTCTTTCTTGCTTTATCTTTCTCTGTAACATTTAGCACATTCTAATTTATCTTATACCTTACTTATTTATTTTATCTGTTGTCCCCTGCCATAGAATATAAGATTACTAGAGCAAAGATTCTTGTTTGTTTTGCTCCTTGCTGTACTTCCTGTGCTGGAATAGTGCCCAGCTCATAGTAGGTGCACATTAATTATTTGTTGAATGAAAACCACACTCTCCACCATTACATGTTCTCCCAGATGAAGCCCTCATAGGAATGAAATGCTAGAAAATTGGAAATACAGATTGTGAAAGGTCTGAGGAACAAGTACAATTGGCAGGGCAGGGAAATTTTGTAAAGACCTCCTAGATATAAAGAAAACAGAAAGCACAGTGGCAAGAGAGGGCACATCTAGGCTATGAAGTGGGGAGTTTATTGAGTAATAGTTAAGCTGAACTTCACATCATTTTCCATTTACTTTTTGGAAAAGTTATTGTTCTGTTCGTTGCCATCAAGTCAGCTCCAACTCATAGCAACCTCAAGTGTAACAGAATGAAAGGTTGCTCGGTCCTGTGCCATCTTCACAATCGTTGATACGTTTGAGTTCATTGTCACAGCTATTGTGTCAATCTATCTCGTTTGAGCGTTTCCCTCATTTTCGCTGACCCTCTACCAAACATGATGTCTTTTTTCTAGTGATTGGTCTTTCCTTTTTTTTTTTAATTGTCCTTTAGATGAAGCTTTACAGAACACATAGTTTCTCATTAAACAGTTAGTACAGATATTGTTCTATGACAATGGTTAACAACGTGATTGGTCTTTCTTGATGACATGTCCAAAGAAAGCGAGTTTGAAGTCTTGCCATCCTCACTTCTAAGGAGCATTCTGGTTGTATTTCTTCTAAGACTGATTTGTTTGTTCTTCTGGCAGTCCGTGGTATATTCAGTATTCTTTGCCAATACCACATTTCAAATGCATCAATTCTTCTGTGTTCGTTTTTCATTGTCCAGCTTCACACGCAGATGAGTGATTGAAGAGACCATGGTTTGGCTCAGGTGCACTTTAGTCATCAAAGTGACATCTTTGCCTTTTAAAACTTTAAAGAGGTCTTTTGCCACAGATTTACCCAATGCAGTACATCTTAGGTTAAGATGACCTGTTCTATGGGATTTATTCCTTCAGAGCTTACTCAAACATTTTTGTTTTCTTGTAGGTTGCCCATCACTCAAGGGGCACATGATGTCTTTGCCTTTTTATCAGAAGCTCCACGAGCACTATGATCGAAGCTACCACAGCAAGGACCTCCACACCACCACAAGCCAGTACCAGCAGGAGAAGAAGCGCTCTGCCATCTACACCCATGGCTCCGCAGCCTACAGCAGCCGCTCCTCGGCCGCCCACCGCCAGGAATCACAGGCCCTCAGCCAGGCTTCCGCCTCCTCCTCCTACCAGCAGCAGGGTTCTCAGGCCTACAGTCTGAGAGCCACAGAGTACTCCCTCGGCTCTGGAGTCGGTCAGAAGGCGGCTGCAGCCTACGATTATGGATACTCCCACGGGTATGTCAAAAGCAGCCTTCCAACCTCGGGGAAAAGACACATTCTCTGAACAGCCCTCCCAGATCACTTTTTCCTTTCTTCTTAAATAGAGCAGCCGTGAATTTAAACCAGGAATAGAGAAAGAGAGTATATTTGGGGAACCTGAGACCTGTATTTACCTAGTTTCCTTTATCATCTCTTTGAGGCCCTCAAAGAGCTTCCCAGTCACACTGTGGAGTCTTGCTTGAAATGCAAACTGTGTTATTTCTAGAAGCAGGGAGATTTTGCCATAGCAGCAGAGCCAGGAAATCTCATTTCAGCACTCACAGCAGGTTTCCTGAATGTTTCTATTTGGAAGAGAAGCCAGTTTAGAATTGAAATTCACAGGCCACAGGAGACCAAACTACAGCAAAATGTATTCTGTTTTTCAGTATCTGAAAGCCAGTACTTAAAATTCTGAACTAGTATTCATGCGGTAGCTGGACACTTTAAACCAGTTGCTGTTAAGTCCATTCCAACTCATGGCAACCCCATGTGTGTCAGAGTAGAACTATGCTCCATAGGGTTTTCACTGGCTGACTTTTTAGAAGTAGATCCCCAGGGCTTTCTTCTGAGGCACCTCTGGGTGGAATCAAACACTCAACCTTTTGGTTAGCAGCCAAGTATGTTAACTGTTTGCACCACCCTGGGATTCCAGCTAGATACTTTAGCTGGAACATTTTATAAAAAACATCACCCTATCACAGTTAGCCTAAGAATACCAGGAACAAACTTGTAATCCAACAAAATTAGATTTATTGACCTATTGCAGTGAGGAAGACTACACTGCAATGAGGGAGGAATCATGGGGCATTTCACAAAGGAAAAGAATGATTATAGGATTCTAGGAAGAGCAGAATTTAGGTGCAGGTCTGGTCTGCAAAGGAGACCCAGGATACTATCTCTTTAGAAACAGTACAGTTAAGATAAATATGGAATGTTGTGTCCAGAAATCCTTTATCTGAAGCTGTGCACCTGAGTTGGAAATTGAGGCTACTTCTCTGTGGCAACAAGTGACCCAGATCCTGTAGGCAAGAGTGCGATGTTTCATTCTTATTGATATGATTTCAAACATCAAGTTACCGGTGGATTTTTATTTTAGAGAAGAACGTTTCTCAGTGAGGCTATAGTCGCTCAAAGAAGGAAGTTATTATGACACTCTACAGCAGCAGTGTCCTTGGGAGAAATATTGTCCCTGTGGACTTTGCAGCTGACTTGTCTGTGTCTATTGTTTCAGCCTGATGAATACTGGGCAGATATTTACTTTCTCAGCCCATGCTAATTTTAATTTTCTCAATATTCAGAATTAAATGTTACCGTTTCACATTTTTTTTGAACTTTCAAGATACATCTGATTTTATTAGAAATCTACAGTCAACAGAAGTATGCTGAACTTCGAAAAGTAAAAATCTCTGCAATATATGGTAGATAGCCGTCTGCTGCCCCTTGCCCTCCTTTCCGAAGCATCTGGCATGGGTTGCACTTTTTGTTATAAACGTAATGTAATTTTAAGTCTCATAAAATTTAAATCCACAAAATGTCTGTTAGGGCAATTGGAAAAGGTGTTTATCTCTGAGAATTCAAAGGTATTGTGGAAATAATACAGTGGTTTGTTTCTGAAGGCAGAAAATCCTGAGTGTCTGTATGGTTTGAGCAGGATCTGGTCTGTTGCTGTCATTTTGTTGGCACTGATGGTGACCTCCTGGGAGCGTCTGCCATGTTTAGTCCCAGATCCAGGGTCTGCTGGGGTTTACCTGGAATGTCCCATGGCAACATGCTGAGATTCCACTTCAAATGGAACAGGATCGTTTTGCAATCTCACTTTCATAGGTCGTATTCTGCCATGGGCTGCCCATGAGGATCTTGTTGGCTGCAAATATGGAAATATTGTCACTGAGGCAAATGTATTTCTTTTAGCGCTTGCTTCAAATGAACTGGCTTCCAAAGAAAACTTGGGAGGAATTAGCAACATAAGTATGTGACAGCATCATTTTGTTCTTCTGAAAAACCTCCCACAGATAGAAACCTCATTCAGGACAGCAGCTGTCTTTGATAGAGGAATATTAGATTTTAAATACTCATTTTCCTGGACTGTTTGTGCTAAGTCTATAGAAGATCGGTGTTTTCATTATCATGTAGTTGTTAATGTAGCTCCTTGTGTCCTTACTTCATCTCCCCAATGTTGTAGAATTCCTGTAGAATTTTATGAATTTGTATTTTTAAGTGGCCTTTATTTCTTCAACTCTATTGCTAAATTTTATGTTAAAATTATTTTTATTGTATACAGATTCCTTTTTTAACCACATGTGCAATATTCATGATCCAATGTATTACATCAAACATTAGTAGCTGGTCCCTTGAGCATTTTTATGTTTTATTTGGGAGACATTTGTTCTACATAATCTTTGGAAGACTTAGTCATTTTAGCTATAAAAAGCTTTCTACAGGAAATGGAACTATAATTATTTTTCTATGGCCAGCTCTCATGTCTGTTCTTTCCTACTTTCTATTTATTTATGTAGGCAGGTAGGTAGTAGGTAGGTATTTATTAATCACTTACTATGTTTTGAACAACTCAAACATGTTGACTTAGAAATGTAGACCTAGTAACAAGAGGGAGACGAAAATGCAAATATTCTTTCCTTTGTATAATGCGACAGACAAGACAAAGAAAGCCAGTCTAATCCTGGGAGTATTTTAGTCCTTAGTTTTTAGCCTTAGAACTAACAGGTGCAGATAAAATTCATTGGACACTTCAAAATCTTATAATTCCATCACCTAAGAACTGTACTATTTTATGATTATTAATATAATGAAATTTTTGAAATTTATTCATTCCTACTTACCAAGTATTACAAAATATCCCTTTTTATTATTTCCATTTTAATGTGTGATTGTATTTTAGCTTGTTCAAAATGGAGAGTGACACTTTTTTAAAGCTAAATTAAATCTCTCTTTGGATTGTGAACAGTGTTCTTGAGTAAAACCCCTGGGGTTGGACGTGCAAGTCTGTGGAAAGTATGGAAGCCCAAAGCTTGGTCTATTTTTGACCTCCGCTTTGCAGTTAGATGTCCAGTGCTAACATGGAAACTATGGAGACTTATGTGTGCTCAGGTCTTGGCTGACCTCAGTGAGTCTTAGCAACAATGGCTAGTTCAGTGTCACTGAGGTTGTAACACAGATCAGTTACCAGTTGCATTCTGAGCCACGGATTATAAAATAAATTCTCTGGCCACAAGGAGGAAAAAACCTAAAGTAAATAAAATAGTTTGGGGAGAACAAAACCTGTCAGAATGACAAGATTATTGTTTTATGCTTATATGTGCATTGATTACTAAATAACTAAATCTGCAAATACTGATTAGGGATCAAAGGAGAACTGGTGCTCATGACCATTCTGTATCCAGAAGGCAGGGGTTCTTAACTCTGTCCATGAATGGTGTCAGCAGTCTTGGACAGTCTGAAATTATGCACAAAATTTTGTATAGATAAGAATCTTTCTGGAGAGAGGGACCACAGATTCTCAGAGGACTTTGACTCAACAAGGGTTAGGACCACTCACTGAAAAGTTTGCATGTAAATACCAGACAGTCCAGCATGTGACTTGAGGTTCCATTTCCAAATGCCAGTATTCTAACAACTTCAAATGAAATAAGGCAGATGTTTACAGAGGGTATGGTATTATGAAAACAGGCTACTGTCCATTCTTTCAATTAAGCTTTGCACTAATGGATCACACATTAAAATGGAAATAATAAAAAGAGATATTTACTTGCTAAGTAGGAATGAATAAATTTCAAAAATTTCATTGTGTTAATAATCAGAGAGAAAACAGTATAGTTCTTGGATGTTGGATGGATTTAGAGTTGTCCCTCAACCCTCTGTGATGACAGACATTCAATTGTCTGATTCTACACAGATTAAAATTCAACCCATATGATGCAATTCAGCATTGCATCCTCAGTATCACTGACTCTTCATACGAACCTGACAAGTAGAAATTAGTATCTTCATTTTAGAAGTGAGAAAACTGGAGATCAAAGACATTAAATGACTTTTCTTAGTTACACTAAGAGATGGCAGAGTAGCAGTTTAAATTCACATTGTACTCCAAGTCCCCTGCTGTTTCCATGGCAACACAATGCCAATTATAGTTATCAACTCCCCTCTACTACACGGTCACCAAAGTTTTCTTGAAGCATCAATGTCTACTTTGGCATTATGCTTCCTTTTATTTTCCCTTCTCCTGGTGATGCCATTGAGCACCAAATAACCAAGATTTGAAAATGGGAATAATAGCTGGAAGGGCACAGATTCTAACAAAAAAGAAAATCCAAGGGGCATTAATGAATGCCAAACCCGGAACGTTACAGACTCTTTAACTGCCGTTTACAATCAATCGCTGCTGTTGTTAGTCTGTCAAGTTGGCCCCGGACTCATGGCGAACCCATGCACAAAGGAACAAAACACTGCCCAATCCTGTGCTATCACCACGATCAGGTATGAATTGGACAGTTGTGATCCATAGAGTTTATACTGGCTGATTTTTCAGAAGTAGATCACTAGACCTTTCTTCCTAGTCCATCTTAGTCTGGAAGCTCTGCTGAAACCTCTTCAGCAGCATAGCAACACACAAACCTCCACTGAAAGATAGGTGCATGAGGTACATTGGCTGGGAGTTGAACCCAGGTCTCCTGTATGAAAGGGGAGAATTCTACCACTGAAACATCACTGCCCCCAGAATCATACATAGAGATTTATAGGTCTCTAGAAGATACCAGTTTGGGCACGAGAACACTGGGGCTTGCAGTGACTTGCCAAGGGCACTTGGAATGACTTTAAATTATGCCCCTCACCTACGCTCAAGTCATATTGATAAACGTCCCTTGGGTTGTTACCCAGGTAACAACCTTTGCTGAAATTATTAGAGTATGCAAAGAACATGCTAATGTCCAAATCAATTCTAATTCATACAGAAAATA